GGCTCATGTCGGCATATGTCACCTCAGAATCAGGCCATTCGATGAACAACTATACTCTGCACTTGTACAATAAACATGTGTAAATTCCATTAGCGGCCATATTGTAATCGGCCCTCCCATGCCCAAGACTTGGGAGTCCGGTCCACTTTTCTCCTATAAATACTCTCTTTGGGAGCCATGTAAAGGGTGGAGAATTCATTTTATATATTCACTTCTCTCTAAATCTCCCTTCTCTAGATTATTATCTATCACTAACAATAGTTTTTTACGTTTGCCTTTAGATGACAACTTGACATGACGTTTGGCTCCGATAATCCATGCCAAAATATAGTAATGTACCAGAGGTCCTCTTGAAGTTAATCCATTTCAAATTCCGCATCAAAATTGTGTAAATGTGTACCAAAATAGAAGTTTTTTTGTATTATTTAGAGCCCATTTGGTGACCCTGTTAGTCGCATTATCAGGCTTATCAACCATCTTTTTCACCAAATATGTAAATTTTGATTTCGTGCGTTGAATTGTGTAATAATAAGAAAAGTAAGATTGAAGTTACTTTTCAGGTTGTATTGGCTGAAATTACTGTAAATGATCAATTTAGCTAAAATATACGGAGTATTTAGCTTTTCATATAATTTTTTCTTTATTTACTTAATAAAATATATTTTTAATTAGCAGAATCGGCCAATCTAGTCACTTCAGCCAGAATTTCATAAATTTCAGCAGAATCTGTCACGCCCCCCGACCTCCCCGGACACGTCAATAACCCGCCGTACAATACGAATAGTCAACCGCAGTCCAACACATTCATATTATACAAGGCGTCTTGAATATCATTCACACACATAACATCCATAAACAAACATAATAGGTAATCCATAACGCAGCGGAAAGCATTGTTTAAAACAAAAGGGCCACACAGGGCTATTCATGAACACGCAGGCTCTATAGTAAAATATCCATGAGCATGTTTAATATTGTTCAAAACAGAATGGAGAGAGCAAGAACCACGTCTTCTCTCCAAAGGATCACCCGAGCAACGGGCACAGGTAGCAAGCTCGAGCCTCAACCTAAAATGGTGGTGGGACGCCCCCGGAGGGGTCAGTACTCTATACGACTATAAAGTACTCGTGTGACAGGCATCTAATAGATATACAACAAGTATTTCACACACAAGACCCTCAAATAGGGTGATAATATAGTTGAGACTGTAATCCCAAATTACCCCTTCAAAATATATACTTACTTTATATAAAGTCAAGTAGTCAGCTCAAGGCCCATGTTTATTACAAAATATTTCCCAAACCCCGTGACTAATGGTCACGACATACATAGGGTCCAACCCTAATATAACTTCTCATTTCTAGAGTTCGACTCGAGTACATCATCATGCACTCGCATCATAAATCTCCTACTTCATGTAATCATATCATAGATCTCCTACTTCATGTATTCCCCCCATAGATCTCCTACTCCATACAATCACACCATAGATCTTTTACTTCATACAATCACACCATAGATCTCCTACTCCATGAAATCAAAATTGACACTTGAATCTTATTCAAGTTCATCACAAACAAACTCAAACCTTAGGTTTGATTCTATCAACATTTAGAACAATCCTTAACTAGCATCACAATACTATTAAGATTATTCCTACAACTCATTTATTATTAGTGGTAGCCCCTCCATATCAATAGATATGTGGCAGCCTCCCATGTGCTAAGCATCATCATGCAATTATACATTTACATACACATAACATTCATACATGAGTTGGAAAGGTCAATTTACCATATTAGCATACTTCTATCTCATATGACTCCATATTCATCAATATGTTCTCAATTCATGATCAAGTCCATTACTTATCGTTCATATCATGTTTAAGTATCTTTATTCACAAAAACATGATTTAAGCTTTTAGGTAATCTCATGCATAACCTACAAGTTGTAAGCAACTAGATGTCGGTCCTCACCTCAAATGAGCTTTAAAACCTTCCTTCTCGATCCAAAGACCAAAGCCTCAACCAAGAAGTTTTGAGAACTAATTCCTTGCTTGGAAATGAGTGTTAAACAGCCTCCTCAAAGTACTAGTTCAACCCCTAATCGTTGATACGAAAACAGCCCCTAGAATGGGTGTTTTCCGGCTAACTGGTTTCCTAGTTTTCCAAGATTTGCTCTAGGTTAGTATCTAACCTTTACACCAATAAAATAACTTTACAAGGACATATTATACACTTGCAATAGTGTATAATAGTTCCACCAATCGTTCATATCATTTAGAAAATGAAAGGAAAGATTTTGGGGTTAAAACTCACTTTAGAGGAGTAAATCGGTTCCTGCGAGGTTGTGTTTTGCCCAGACGATTTGGAAGCTATCCACTACTCCGATTGATGCAAACCAGACCTTCACGGATTCCTCGTCTTGAGATATTTTCTTTGGTATCTTACATGCCTTATTTGGATTGGTATAACTCTAGATATCAACCAAACAGCCTCAACACTCTCACTGCTCGAGTTTACAGACAGCAGTTCACTCCAGCTCGATTTTTGTATGATAAACTCTCCCTTCTCGCACAGAGACCACTCAAATAAGAAACTAGACTTCAAAGTATTTCCAAGGACACCTCACACACATTATTTGGTCGAGTACAACTCCCATAATGAGTGGAGACAAACATCACACCAATTTGTGCGAAAAATAGAGATGGTGGCCCAAACTTTGATTCCTTTCAAGTCTTGTGCAGCTCCTCTCCATGCTGGCCGGCAAAGGTAAGTCCTCTCACCCATTTTTATTTGTATTGCAGGTACTAATATCATGGGGAGTGGTTCCCAATTGATCCCAATTATTTTGGGGTCCAAAATATCTACCAATACTTCCAAAAATGGGAAGATGGGTCCTATTATTTTATCTTTTGTCAAAGATTTCTTTTGTACTCGTCCTAATTTATTTAGAACAAGTCAACTTCCTACATCACATTATTGATCTCGAATATGTGTAGGCTCATCTCAATAATTTACTTGATAGATATTATAGGAGGAAAATCCTACTCCCATTATTTAGCTCAATAATGTCAAAGATGGGGTTATAGATATTTGTATTCTTCTCTAACCATTCTATCACTTATTTTGACATTTGTCATACATATTATTGGACTACTAGCCGTGTGGGTCACCCCCGAGTGGGCCTAGGACGCCATTCTCGAATACTTGCTATTTTTAGCAGGTTGAGTCCAAAATAATGCTTGGGCTGCCCGACCTTCCTCATATTTTCTTGAAAGGTTAAGTAACATTATTTAGGTAATGTTGGGCTCTTATGTTCATTAATTAAGGCCCAAATAAGTATTTGCAAGTCCGACACTAATATACGAGTTCGAACAGTACAATAATCGATCATCAATTACGTAAAACATTAATCGTTTTACAATTGTTGGGAAATCGGAAATTCAATACATAAACTTTGAATTTTTAAATCGAATTTTCAAGGACGTTCGGGTGCGGTGTAACAGAATCAGCCAATGCAGCCGATTTGGGTATTACTAAACAGACTCTTAATGTCATAGTGACCTGGAGTGCTGATGAAAAATTTACAAAAATGTCGAACACTAATTAATGTGAATACGTGTCCTTGTTATTGGAAATGTCAAGCTAAACAAATAAACAATCACGGAAAACTTCTCCATCAGGACATAGTTATATGCTTCTTCTTCCAATTAGACAATCTGGATCATTATTTTGTGGATTTCAGAGCTCTACACCCCATTAGACTTTAGTTGCAACTTTATAAGACTTTTGGGTGGATCCTTTGACTTTGTCTATTACCTATAACATCTATGGATCTTTAATATCGTTATTGAAATTGAAATTAATTTCAACTAAGGTAGACCACATTTTTACATTCCCATTGAGAGAGTGAGAGACCATTTCCCCCACCTTTTGACATTTACAATTTACAAACCATCTATTCATCCAACTTTTGACTCGTAGACTTGTAGTGAATTGGCAAACGCATATATTCCTACTATTGTCTACATCTTACAATTTACTCCGACCAGTGTAAATTAGTAAATGAATGATTGCACTCACGTAAGAAGTTTATGTTTAAGACATCACTTGAATGCATATTAGAATCATTCTTTGTGAGGAATGAAGATTATTCAAATATACAAAACATAAAAATAATATCCAAATAATTTTAAGGATGAATTTCTTGGCCATGCTTCGAAAGGCGAGAAGAGGATTCCTATTTCAACGATGGAGGATCTATGAGACGGTGAGACCACGATACAATTCAAAGTATTTGTAATATAATAAAGCTAGGCTAGTCAGGAGGGAAAACTTGTTGTCTATAGAGAACTTAAACATTCAAATCAAATCAAAATGTACAAAGAAAAGAATCAGCGATCACATAGAGGGTTGATTTTAGCTATGATCTTTACTTCTTTTGTTTATTTTTTTTGTCTTGTTTCCTTTTTCTATGTTTGATCTCTCATGTACTTCTTTACTCTGTCAGTAATAAAACCTTCTTTTGCAATATCTGTCTATGGTCATTTGCTTGACCAACTTTAACAAGGCAACTTGGGTAGACAAGAGAAATGTTTCAAGATTTTTTGGTGATACTTTAATTTCATAGAAATAAAAAAAGACTGGTGTATAGGGGCGGAGTCAAGGCACTGAGCCGAACTGGGCAAATACAAAGAATATTTTTGGAAACAATTTTACGCGGAATTAGGATGTTTTTACTTGGACTGTAATTTGCTGGTCTGGTCTGGTCTGGTCTGATCTGGTCTGGTCTGGTCTGAACTGGTCTGGTCTGGTCTGGTAAGGTCTGGTTTCTTTGTATTTTTATAACTATTGAAGTCTGGTCTGGTCTGAACTGGTCTGGTCTGGTCTGGACTGGTCTGGTCTGGTCTGGGGCAAATTACAGTCCAAGTAAAAACATCCTTATTTACACAAAAAATATAGAGATTTTTAAAATTTGGGGCGGGTTAGAGTCAAGGTTCCCCCTAGCTACGCCCCAGCTGGTGTACTTGTTGTCAGCATATCCTCCAGAGAGGCCAAGTACAAAGCACGATTTGTGAAGCTTATAATTATCTTTTATTCTTCACGATTTACATATTTCTCAATCAAGTTGACTCTCTAATGTAAGGCTTGTTTCTCCACCGATTCTTCTTCGTACCACTTTTACTTTTTCTGATTTCGATTTCGTGTTTGGATTTGATTTTCTCTTAGGTGAGGCTTGCTCGTATAACGGTTTAGGATTTGGCTTTGCTTTGTACGCTCAGAGAGTCAGAGGTTATCCAGGTGTGCTCCAGCCTCCAGGAACTTGCCGATCTCTACCGACTCCTCATCATAAGGCAATGTTTTCGTTCAAGATTGTAGGAGGGCTTTACACGCAAATTATATGGTACAGCCGGCTGTACCGTGCGCACGGTACAGCCGGACTTTTAGTTCGCGAATTGTAGGCTTTCATCGCAGACTTCCGTCATCGCAGGGCTTCCATCGCAGGCTCCCGTCATCGCAGGGCTTCCATCGCAGGCTTCCATGGCCGATCATCCTTGCTCCGTTGCTCGCCGCCTACTAGCACCTCTCCCTTCGACAACTGCAACCCTTCTGCAGCTCTCCTTCAGCTTCGTCCTTAACTTCGCACGTTCTGTTCCTTTCTTTTCCTTTTTCTATTTTTCTCACACTGATTGTTTTAGTTTGGTGGTTTTTGGGTCAGGGATACCTAGGTTGTACGTAATTCTAAAGATATGAGCATGCGCAAATAAAAGTTTGAGCATGGTGGTGATTTTAAATGAGCCTAAAAGAAATGAGTATACGCCTAAAAGAAATGAACTCACACAAACTAATATTGAACACATTGAAAATGAGTTTCATGTAAAATTGAAATGAGTATAACACCAAAAAATGAATGAGCATACTCAAATGAGTTTTTTGAACGCTCATTTTGTAATTTATGTATACTCATTTGAAATTAGTACAATACTCTTTTTAAAATGTCATATTCATGCATATTTTAAAATGAGTTTTAAGTTAAATTCAAATGAGTATTATGTCCAAAATGAATGAACACAAAAAAATGATTTTTTAATATTTTGATACTCATTTTGTAAATTATGTATGCTCATTTGGTATTGTTTTATGCTCATTTTAAAATGATGCACATATCAAATATACGCCCAAAATCAATGAGCATACACAAATAAAGTTTTGAATTTTTTTTATACTCATTTTATAAATTATGTATGCTCATTTGGTACTGTTTTATGCTCATTTTAAAATGATGCACATATCAAACATATCATACTACATTAGATTCACATATTGAAATTAATTATAAACATAATTTAAGATTTTTAATTTTTATAAATGAAAAAATCATAAAAAGAAAACGAATTAGAAAATATGAAGCAGAGATCACTGATGCTCATTGTTAGACTTTTAATACTCAGAAGAACAGGCTCGATGCTCATCAAAATTACATCAATGCTCATTTACGAGAAACCACGAACTTCATGAAATTTACAAAACTGTCACCGGCTGTACGATGCCAGCCGTACAGCCGGCTGTATGGTATACGCTTCCGACTTTACATGGCAATTGGTGGTTCTTTCCCAAAGTGTGGGAAGTTGCTTTGGTGTCCATGTCAGCTTCCTCTGGTCAGAGTTTTTGTATTCCTTCTTTTGGTTGCGTAGAGAATGATAGAGACACAAAGATTATCTTTTACCTCTACCATGAACAAAGTGAGAAGAAGAACTTAGTATTCACCCATACTACAACAGCTCGTTTTCCTCCGGAATCACCTCCGTGTCAAAAAGAATTTTGTGAAAAAACTTTTTTCAAGTGCTATTTTTTCTTTAGTAATGCTTGTTTTTATTTTAATTCGAGTAGATTTGGTTTAGATATCTATATATTTGGAATACTTTTGATAGGTTGTATTTCAGTTGAGGTTGTTTAAGGCTTAAATATGTTCGCTTCGTGTCTAGCGAGTCAGATTGTTTTGTACGAGGTGACTGACTCTATGTCTATTCTTAGGGTTTACGATCGAATCTGTAATAACTGTATGTGGATCGTCTTGTATTCTTTCTCGATATTACTATAAAGCCACTATTTTATACTAAAAAAGAAAAATTTCTCAATTAATACATACAATTTCTGTATACACAAAAAAAATCTATCTAGCATATGATATTGTTCAGCAACAAGGACTACACTTATAGAATTAAGTTGCCATTTAATAAGAGAGAACATAGCCACAAATTTAATTAATCTTGTTCATATTAAATACTTTTGGACATGGTAGTTGGAATAGACATGTCCAACAAATTAGACACACATGCTCATCTTAAAGGTATCAAGAATAATCAAAACGAATGTATGTCCAACAAATATCTATGGTGGCCCTAGAGAAGATAAATACTATCGTACAAAATAAGTGATGGATAGTCTACCCGGGGTATCTTATCCGAGGGGTTATTGCGGGAATAACTTAGAGAGAAGTCAGAGCAAATGGGAGGAGAGAGAGTCGATTTTATTAAATGAACTCAGCGTGTGGAGTTGAGATGCAGATGATGATTTACAAGGAGAAATGGCATGCTATTTATAGCAGTAATAAATGCGATGAGAGTACACGTGTCAGTAATCCAACGGCCGAAGGGTCACATCAGCCGGTTGGCACCGGCAGTGGTACGTTCACCGCATTGATTGCGGTTGGCGGATGTGACGTGGCATTAAATGCGGTGGTTGGCTGTCTCTAAAAGGAATCTTCGATGATTGAGTCTGTTTAGCCGAAGGCTCCTCGCGTAGCCGAGGGCTCCATGTAACCGAGGGTTCCATGTGGCAAGGACCCTTGTGTGGCCGAAGGCCCCATGTGGCCGAAGGCTTGGTTCAGCCGAAGGCTTCTCTGATGCCGAGGGCATGACAATGCCGAAGGCTCATGTTTTCGCCCCGTTTTCTCCCCGCAGCTTCTTATGCCAAAAAGGGCTATCCTGTGAGTTCTGGAGCCTTCGGCCAAGGAGGCCGAAGGCATCCCAGTGTGTATTCTGAGCTACTTTGAGGCTTGGGCCGTTGTATTTGGGCCTGAGTTGTTTCCTGGGCTCAATGGACTTGTGTAGGAGAAGTAGGAGTCTATGGGCCGGGGGTTCCCGGGCCATATACTCCATCAATAAGGGTGGTTGTTAACCGCCCATTCGGTAACACTGAAATTAAATCTATGAAAATTCATGAAATTTTGGTCGAAGTGATAGAATAATCATAGAAAAATTACATTTATATAATTTTTATTAATGAAAAAAAAAAAAATTATATGAAAACCAGCAACAATGACTCTCTACAGTAACTTCAGTTAGAAAAATAACTTTAACATTTCTTATTTTGATTATTACATAATTCAACGCGTGAAAAAGAATTACGGAGTACATGTTTAATAAAAAAGTTAATTGATAAGACATAAACTGATAAGTGCTTAAATATTTCACATGTTCTATTTAGTACTCCGTAATTCCGTATGATAATTGATATGCGGTAATTAGTTAGCAGGTGTTAATTATGTAGCTTTTTTAAGCTATCCTTCTCAATTCAATTCCACTTTAGAGTCTATTTGGTAAAACTAAAATTGGATGAATCGACTGATTCTTCTGAAATTTATGAAATTCTGGTTGAAATGACTGGATTAACTGATTTTTCACATTTATGAAACAAATATTTAATTTTTTTAATAAAATGGAGAAAATATTATACGAAAAAATAGCTAAAACGATTTTCTACAGCAACTTCAACCAATACAGCCAGAAAAACAATTTCAACCTTATTTTTTCTTATTATTACATAATTCAGCATGTGAAATCAAAAGATTCGTGTTTTGTGAAAAAGTTGGTCGATAAGCCGGAAAACAGAACTACCCATCGGGCTACCAAACAGGCTCTTAGGAAGTGTTTGCAACTGCTTCTGCTTAAAAAAAGCACTTTTGGAGATGTAAGAAAAAAGTGATTAGTTGTAAAAGTTGATAGTGTTTGAGAAAAAAATGATTTTGAAAAGTAAAAGACTAATTAAGCAGTGTTTGCGGTTGCTTAAAAAAAGCGCTTTTCAGCTTTTGGCTTAAAAAAGCTAAAAAGAGTGTTTTCAAATGACAGCTTCTGCTTAAATTAATCACTTAAAAGCTAAAAGCTGGAAGCAGGTGGAAGGGTTCTTTAAACTGCTTTTCACTTTTTCTATTACACAAAAAGTACTTATTTTACCAAACATTACCAACTTTTACTTTTTCTGAATCACTTTTTTCTCAAACACTACCAACTTTTACTATTAATCACTTTTTCCAAAATCACTTTAAAAAATCACTTTTTTAAAGTTGAAGCAATGGCAAACACTCCCTAAGGGTCTGTTTGCAACAGCTTCTGCTTTTAAAAAAGTGCTTTTTTTAATGAAATGATGAGAAGTGATTAAATAAAAGTTGATAGTGTTTGAGAAAAAAGTGATTTTGAAAAGTAAAAGTGGGTAGAGAAAGTAATAGAGAAAAAGTGTTTGGTAAAATAAATGTTTTTTGTGTAATAGAGAAAGTAAAAGCACTTTTGATGCGGAAGCCGAGAAAAATAAAAGGTGTAGTGTTTGGAAAAATAAGTGCTTTTTTAAAGTCAAAAGCTGAGAAGTGCTTTTTTAAAAGCAGTTGCAAACCAACCCTAAAAGTTGGTAGTGTTTGGTAAAATAAGTGTTTTTTGTGTAATAGAAAAGGGAAAAACACTTTTTACACGCAAACCGAGAAAAAGTAAAAATTGATAGTGTTTGGTAAATAAGTGTTTTTTTAAGCCAAAAGATGAGAAATGCTTTTTTAAGCTGTTGCAAACACTCACTTAGTTTGTGTTTCTTTTTTTTTGACAATTCTTTCTAACCTATATAGTATCTGCTCAATGTTAATGTCAACATCCTTGAATCAGGATGAGATTCGAACCTGTGACCCCCTCCTTGGGAGTGACACAGATGCCATCAGACCACAAGATACTTGCCCTTAGTTTGTGTTTCTATTTTTATCTTTTACTACATATATGCGTGCATGAATTGGACTAATGCTGTGAGCCACAGCCTCTGCCGACTGAAAGAGTCGAGAACATTTCCAGATCGACCCTTTTTGACAATCCAATGGAAACTCGAAAGGCGGGCTGCACTTTGGGCAAACAATATCTTCCACCAACTATTGACCTGTAGGAAATTGACTAAAACGCCCTTCATTTTGACCACGACTTGCAAATCTATATCAACCGAGTTGTGGGTTATCAAGTGTGAATTGGTAAGGGTGTGTTTGGCACTGACGTAACATGTACGAATGAATACTTCAAATGCGTGTCTCATATGCGAATCTCAATGGTCCCTATGGGATAAGAAAATCTGCCAAATTGGACAAATCTCCAAACTAATTTCAAAAGTCACATCTTCTAGAAGGAAACCAAACAAATTCAGTCACCATTTTTGGCTTATCTTATTGAACAAATAAATAAATAAATAAATAAATAAATAAATAAATAAATAAATAAATAAATAAATAAATAAATAAATAAATAAATAAATAAATAAATAAATAAATAAATAAATAAATAAATAAATAAATAAATAAATAAATAAATAAATAAATAAGTACATTTTTTGTTTGTCTAGTTGGATTATTGGTTACTTAGTGTCTATGTTATTCGAAACTTCAAAATAATTGTTCTTGCTAGGTACTAATAAACGTTTTTCAACTAGACAACTCAACCATGAGACAATTAGATAGATGACAAATGGTGTTGTGTTTTTGTAGAGGTAGAATGGTAATTTTCTTCTTCTCACAGGAACTGTCATCTTATATACATTCAAAATAGGTATATGTGACTTTGTGAGTATATTGGGAAAAAACTAGATCAGTTTAAAAAACATCTAACAATCAGATATAAAAATGATCACTCTTTCATCACGAGTAACTCAAATCGCTGATCACAACTTAGACTTGAAGCTATTACTAACCCTGAAAGCCCTCTCTAGTTCTAAACAAACGAGAACAATTAACATTTTAAACAATATTAAAAATACTAATAAAGCAAAAAATAAAATAAAAACGTGAAATGCCGAATGTAAACCATTTTCAAACAGCTCGTCTATGAAAGACATTGTTGTTACGGAGTATCATTTTCGATAGTTTGAGAAAGTCATATTTGTATTGTTCAAAAAATTGCATTCAAAAGCGGTAGAAAAACAAAACTAAATACGGAGTAATAAATACCATAATCTAAAGGAGAATAGCCATCATGGTGTCGCCAACAACTTATTATATAATTCCAAAATATGTACTACGTATACAATTTCAAAAACCGAAAAATTGAGAACAAAAATATATGATGTTCAATTTTTATAAGATAATTTTAATCTTTAGAAAACAATTGAATCGTGAAAAATACTCCATAAAACGATTTAAAGTAACACAGTAAAATGAAGTCTAACATGTTAGATGAGAAAACCACAAAAGTCGACGAGATATGTGAATACATATCAAATTAAGAGTATAGTCAAAGTCAAACAATTCTTTTTCAATAAAAAGGTTGATGTATTTGTCCATAGGCCTGGGACCGGTTCGGTTCCAAGGTGAAATATGTGGAACCGTTTGAAAATATGAAATTTTACTAACGGTTCGGTTCTTATAAATTATTTTGTAGAACCGATAAGGAACCGAACCGTTCTTAACGGTTCGGTTCTTGTCATTTAACGGTTCCTAGTATTTAAAAAAAATCTTACAAATCACGGTTAAATTTGTGTAAAAAATACATTCAACGCTTGAAATTACAATAAAAATATGTTGAATTTCATTTCAAACCTCAAATTTTGAGTTTAAAAGATAAATACATAACAAACTGCAAATTTTAGAAAACAAAAACAAAACAAGATATTCGGTAAAGAAGCCCAATAAAACCAGTTAAATGAAAAATAATTTCAAATAGTTAAATAACTAAACTAAAACAGTGAATGTAATATGAAAATAAATAAGTAAATATACATTAAAATACATATACTAATAAGAAATATATATAATTTTAATTATTATATATAACGGTTCTTTAACGGTTCCATGTGCATATTTTTTACGGGAACCGAGAACCGAACCGTTAATAAAAAGTAGGAACCGAACCATGAACAAATAACTAATAAATTTTGGAACCGAACCGAACCGGGTCATAACGGTTCGGTCCGGTTCGGTTCTCCGGTTCTTGGTTCCAAAGTCCCAGCCCTATTTGTCCATACGGTGTT